AATGCATTATTACAATTTATTATAGATGGAGTCTCTTCTAACTGAACATGCAGTAAACTAGAACAAGACATACTTGGTGGCTAAGACAATCACTTCTGAAACAACAATTTGCTAGTAAAAACAAACCACAACCGCAGAAGGTGGGTATAGAGGTTCTTTGATCTCAATTTTTATTTTTTATTTTTATTTTTTTTCTCTCTCAAATTATCTATGACTTTTATTTTTTTGTTTTTTAGAGTTAGTTAAGTTAGTTTATTTGTTAAAAATAATTTGGGATATATATAATTTTTTTTTTAAAACTATTTTAATGACTTTTTTAAATTGCTAAAGTTGATTTTTTTGACAGGAATGAGTATTATCCAAATAACCTAAAGCTTTTTGTTTTGCTTTGTTTTGTTTTTTTAATTTTTATTTTTAAATAGTAAAATGGACATCTTACTCAATAAATGACTTTTAAGAGGTTGCCAAATCAAGCCTACATCCATTATATGATGTCTTGAGATTATCTCTAAAGGTTAGTAGTGTATTTGGGTGAAGGGAGACAGAGAAATTTAGGGATAGAAAATCCCCATCCCAAAAAAGTGATTTATAATAATTAAATAATGATCATTTTTGCAAGAGTTTTTATGTCATTTTCTATATCTGAGTTCTGTATTTCTAATATTAATATTTAAATAATTTTAAAATTTCTAAGTTGGCATGGTAGGATCAAGATACAAGTGACGAGATCTACTATCCTCAAGTTTATCTATTTCATTATTTCAATACATTTCTAACTATAAAATAATGACTCAAAATTCTCACATTTATTCTATTATATAAAATACACATCTCAAAACATATTTTGAAACTATGTCACGTATATTTTAATACTCAAATTATTTCTATACAACTATTCAGATTTTTCATTTCAAACTTTGATTTTTTTTCCCATTTTTTTCCCATGTAAGTTCAGTTTTTCTTTCCCAGGTGATAATTGTAATTGTCAATTTTACCCATACATGGCATAACCATATAGTAATTTATAATTAGTGATGTGTTGTCCGAAATTTGACTTAATAGGGTTTGAAAGAGATTTGTGAAAGGAAAGGAGGTGTGATATTTTACTCATCTTTCCATTCTCTTTTATTTTTGCTCCATAAATATCTCTTTAAATTCAAAATTCAATCCCCCCCAAAAAACAAAAAATCACAATTTTCATTTTTCTAATTATTCCACTAGGTTCGATTTATGAAACTCTCATTAATTTTGCATAATTTTACTTATATAAACATTTTTTTTTATAGTGAATTTCAATTAAATCCACTTCAGTACTGATACATTGTAACAGAGGAATTCGGTGAGGGTTGAGAGGAGCTTTCCCATTTATAATGGAAGATTGCTGTTTCTTTCATAGTGACACATGCATGATTGATGCTATTATATTATAACACTGTTCTAATCATTGGAGGACATTGAAACCCCACCCCCCACTTCACTATACAGAATATTTTTCTTCCTTCTTTCTTTGCCAAGAAAAGAAAAGAAAAAGAATAAAGATGGAAACATAAAGGAAAAAATGGGTGTTCCCATTGATGATCTCTCTCCCTTGCATGGAAAAATGGGACATTGTTTGATATTTTTTTCACTAATCCAATCTAATCTTTTTTTGTTTCACACGCAATATCTATTAGATTCGGGCATTTGTTGAACTAAGTCCTATGGTGATTTCAAACCATTAAACTAAAGAAAATGTACCTAATTGGGGGTCATTAACATGCTTAAAAAGTGTAATAAAATATATAAATTTTTGTTATTCTGTTTGTTTCAATGAATTATTATTATTATTTTTTTTTCAATGGTGGTGGTAGTGGTAGGACAAATGTGGAGGCATAGGTGGTGGGGTGATGCCGGCAATGAGCAACAGTGAAGATCGCAGTGGCCATTGTGATGGTGGGGTTGTGGTGGAGGTGAAGGTAATAGTGGTGATAGTGATATTACTCTTGGTGGTAGTATGGTAATATTAATAAAATTTTAATTCAAAAAATATTTTCTACTTTTTACAAATGAAAAATATTTTATGTTAGCCTTTGTTTGGGAAGCCCAAAGTTGGGTTTTTTTTGGCTATTTTAACCACAAAAAGTAAAATAAACTTTTTAATCCAATAAGACAAAATATCACATCCAACCTATAATCATTATATTCTTTGTCTCACAAAAAAGTCAAAACCCTTCCAAAATCAGGCTTTTTAGGCCCATGTTAAAAAAGTCAAAAAGTAAAAAAATCAACCCACCTCTCAAACGAAGGCTAAATAAATTTCTTTTTGATTGATCATCAAAAAAATTTCTCTTAAGTTTCATTTTTCAATATACCAAATATTAAAAGATAAGAAAAATATTTTCTAAATTTGCCTACGAAAGTGAGCGTTAGGATATTAGAAATCATTGCATGATATTACACCTAATAAAATCATTGCGATGAGATAATAAACATGTCTCCAAAGATTCTCCTATCATGAGGATATTAGAACATTAGAAATCATTGCATGATATTACACCTAATAAAATCATTGCGATGAGATAATAAACATGTCTCCAAAGATTCTCCTATCATGAGGATATTAGAACACTACCAATACCAATCCATGTAATTCAGGATGACTTATTTTACATGATATTACAATAAGACTTTTTATCTTAAAATTATTAAAATACTCTCATTAAAATAATTGATTTGACTCGTTTGCAAACCAAACATGGCCTTAGTACCAAAAAAACAAGAAGTCCCCTTTCCTTGTTTTGTTGACCAGAACAGCACCATCAAACCCATCATGAAGGAAGTAAGGCCCTCGGAGATAGAAGGGAAGGGATTGATAATGAAGGGATTAATAGTGAGGGGATTGTTAGTGAGGGGATTAATAGTGAGGGGGATTGATAGTGAGGAATTGTTAAATTATTTTTATATAAAATAATAAAACAAATATAAAAAATATAAAAAATTAAACATTATATTTAAAAAAAATTCCCAATATATAAAAAATAAAAAAATTTCTAATCCCTATTAGAACACTACCAATACCAATCCATGTAATTTAGGATGACTTATTTTACATGATATTACAATAAGACTTTTTATCTTAAAATTATTAAAATACTCTCATTAAAATAATTGATTTGACTCGTTTGCAAACCAAACACGGCCTTAGTACCAAAAAACAAGAAGTCCCCTTTTGTTGTTTTGTTGACCAGAACAGAACCATCAAACTCATCATGAAGGAAGTAAGGCCTCGTTAAGAAACTCTTTGTTTTAGTTTTAAAGTTAAAAAATTAAAAAATTTAAAATTTATATCAAAAACTTAAAGATTTCATTTTCTCTTTATTTTTTGTATATCTTTTCATAAAAAATTAAAAAATTATTTCAAATATATTAATTTTTTTTACCTCATATTTTAATCAAAAAATTACTAAAATAACCTATTCTCAAACGAGGTCTAATTCAGCAAATCAATGGTGCATGACTGGCCATGTACACTTTTGCTTTTAAGCATGGCAATTGAGTAACCAAAGTTTATCCCCCATTCAAACTTGCACATTACAATAAAGTATAGATCGGCTAGTGCATGGACTAGTCTTTCATGGGGGCTAGACATTGTGTAATGAACAAAGGAGCCAAAATCCTACTTTCTCTCCATACAAAGCACCAAAAAGAAAAGGTTAATCTTATATAAATTAAATATATATGTATAATTTAAAAAGCTTATGTGTAGATTTTAATAGATGAATTTATTATTTAATATGTTCCAATGGTGCATGACTAGCCATGTACACTTTTGCTTTCAAGCATGGCAATTGAGTAACCAAAGTTTATCCCCCATTCAAACTTGCACATTACAATAAAGTAAAGATCGGCTAGTGCATGGACTAGTCTTTCATGGGGGCTAGAGATTGTGTAATGAACAAAGGAGCCAAAATCCTACTTTCTCTCCATACAAAGCACCAAAAAGAAAAGGTTAATCTTATATAAATTAAATATATATGTATAATTTAAAAAGCTTATGTGTAGATTTTAATAGATGAATTTATTATTTAATATGTTCTATAATAATTAATGACGTTTTTTATTAAATATTATTAAAAAAAATGTCACTAATTATTAATTTTCATTCGATAGTTTGAAAATTGTCACAAAAAATTGTCACTAATTATAAGTTTTAGTTACAGTTTAAAAAAACAGTCACAAAAAAAGTTGCAAATTTTTAACTTTCAGCTACTAATTATAAGTTTTAGTGACAATTTATATATAAAAAAAATCACTAATTGTTATTTTTTAGCGACGTGCAAAAAAATGGTCACAAAAAATATTTTTAGCGACGATTTTATTAAGAATTATTTTCAATAGGACTTTATGAGAATTAAAGTCAAACTATTAGGATCTATTGGTAATTTATCCTATAATTCTATGTAGAATGATGTGATTATATAATGAACCTAACATTTCAACACTAATGTTAGGAATAAAAAATTCAGACACAAAAAATTAAAAAAAAAATAGTTTATGATTCAGATTTATTTAAAATGTGTAGACCCTATCATACAATAAATCTGGACCATGTATTGTTTTTGTTGGTCTTTTTGTGGGTTTGAATTATTGATGCTTAGCATTACTAATCACTTCAACACAAGAACTTATCAAAATGACTGTTAATTGCAAAAACAACTACATCACATGGTGACAACTTTATGCATGAATGTCTGGCGAGAACAAATTAAATTTTATTTTATTTTATTTTATTTTATTTTATTTTCTAACAGAAAATGCTATTGATTGAGAATTTTTATATAGAATTATTGGCCAAAACAATATGAGTGACAATTTTTATTTTAATGCGACAAGTCTATAAATATACGATATCACAATATGTAATTTAAAATAAAATAAAATAAAAAAACCTTCTTCCACAATAAAGGGCAGGAGGAATATCTTTAGTTGTCTCTCTTTATTAAAGAAAAGCTCCTCTTTTTATGCTTTTGATTTTGCTCGTATTATTATTAAGACTCCCCTGTTTTGCCTAACTCATCCTCACACCAAATACTCTGTTTTTCCCATGTCTTCACCTACACTTCCCTTTCTTTGCACTCAAAGCAAGCCCCTTTCAAATCACTTCTACTAAATCCAAAACCCATCTTCCCTTTCCTCCAATTCCTCCGAATTCAATCCCAACAAAACCCGAACATGTCGTTGCAACAACAGCCAGTTATGGTTTACCCAAACCCTGTCACCAATCAGCCTTCTTCCCACTCAAAAGAGTCATTTGGGGCAGTTTTCATTGTTCTTGCTGTGATTGTCGTCGTGTCAGCCATCGCTTGCTTCCTTGGGAGGTTCTGCAGCAAGCGCTACCACCATGCAGCGAAGCCTAAGCAGAGCCACATGGCGGCGAAGCCCAAAGAGAGGGAACAGGGGAGGCAGCAGCATGGACATAATTTTCATGGGAGAGATGGGGATATTGAGTTTGGATTTGATAAGGGAATTCCAAGTGGCAAACAGTTTGGGAATGGTGAAGCTAAGGTGGGTAGACAGGGTGGGAATGGTGAGATCAAAGGTCAGGTGAGGTTTGCTGATGAAGGAGAGCTTAGAGGTGGTGACTACAATATGGCATGAGCAAGTTCTTGATACTTTTCTATCAAAGATTTGTAATCTTGTTTTTGAAAAAAGTTTAGGAATACGTAAACTGATCACATAATCAGGACAATTCTTTCATACGATGTGGATCTTACCTTTTTGTGGGTCATACACTCGTATGAAAGAGTTGTGTTTAGTTCTGCGATTAGTTTATGTGGAAGTAGGACTGTTTGTTTTTCTCCTTTACTCTTTTGGTTACATTGGAATACTTGATATGTATGAGTTGCAAATTGTACAATTTTCTTTGCTGTAGGGGATAATGAGAAGGAAAAATGCTATTTATTATGAATTTTTGTCTTGAAATTACTTTGAAAGTGAGGCGTGTTGTGTTGATTTAATGTTGATGGAATGTAAGTTATACCAACAATGATTGTGATTTATAGATATACTTCACTGAGTATTTTTCTAGGTATGTAATATTGTTCAACCAAATATGCATTTGTTCCAATCATTGTGTAAGCCCTATACAAAGAATAAGAAGGTTCGCATGAAGAGAATCTTTTTCTATAATCAAATCCGAATAGAATTGAGAAAATGTGTTTAAGGAGTTTATGATCTTCAATCTCCATCCTCTTCTACTCGTATTCATGATTTCAACTTTGTTGTTCACTATTAGTATTGCCACATTACCATAATTTGAATTCAAAACTAATTGTCCGTTAACATGTATTAAAACTTAAAAAGCTCTGAATAATTTTGAAAATAATATAAACTGCCATAAATTCAAATTGTAACCATGATTGTATTTTAGAAGGTTGGGTCATAATGTTGGAGCCGAAGATCACAAGCCATTAAGGTAAAATGGATAATGCTTCATGTGGCACTCAAGTCATTTATCAATATTCGGGATTTTTTGTTTTCAATTTATTTTTTATTTTTTATTTATTTATTTATTTTAATCTCACTGTCTCAGTACACTCTTAACTCTTAGATTATTAAGACATAGGAACGGAAAGATTTGGGATTTTTCGAGGCATTCCTTTTTGTCAAAAACCATTTTTGTTAAGTTCACCTGTATGTGCTTGGTGTATGTTGTTTACATAGCCTTTCACAAGTTTGTTTTAAAAAGAAATGTTGATGCCCAATTGAAGACTTTGGTAGGACCATATAGAAAGATGAGTTTAGAGCCATAAGTGTGTTACAATTATAATGGCAGATCCAAATAATTGTAACAGACTTGATTTGTTGAGTTGATGAGAGATCATATTTAGCTCCAGAACCAGTTTTTGCTCCACAAAGATCTAGCCTCAATCGATGAACTATGGACTGGACTTTATCGTCATAGGCTAAGCTGGTTGACGAATGGTGGGCTGGATCTTCTTTCTCTCTAGATCCTGCAAAATAAACCCTTTGGATGCACTGGGAAGTGTCCTTCCTAAGGGTCTTTTAAGAACTATGTTAGCAAGAGGCTAAGCCAGGGTGAGAAGATGATGGGGATTAGGGCTTGTATGAAATTACCTTCTTTGAACTCACATTATTATTGAAGAGATCAACGAAGGACACCGTCAGTGTCCCAAGGGCTTGTGCGGGATGGTTACTCCTATGCCTAAATTTTTTGTTAAACTTCATGGATATAAAGTACAAGAAACAATAAAGTTTTTGTACCAAATAGTGTAGTGTTAAGGGACGAAAGCACTTGAGACCCAGGGGTCATATGTCCCCCCCTTAACTTTTCAAAATTATACTTTTGCTCTTAATAAAAAAAAAATATTTCAATTCAATCCTTTCAAATTTATGTTCCTATTTTCTCTACTTTTTTTTTCAGAAAAATCTGTTTAATTTGTCACTTTAAATGTTTAATTATACTAAAAAATTCTTATAAATTTTATATTAGAGGAATGTTATATGCCACAAATTTTTTGTCATTGCTTTTATACCACCTCTTATATGAACTTATAATTAATTAATTTGTCTACAAATAATTATTACACAATTAATAACAACTAATGAAATATTGTCATATAATTCAGTTGTTTATAACGGTAAAAAAACAAGTGATATATAGAAACCACTGTATATTATTTATTCACCTTACTTTTTTGTATGCATCTAGATAAAAAAATCTGTTCTTATATTTCATGAGGACATGTGATTTATTTTTCAAACCATAATGATCATCATACATAAAATTAAATTAATAACAATAAAGATAATGATCGATTAACATGAACTTATAATTAAATATAATTTTTGTATCACACTAATTTTTAGTCCTATTATCAAAAAAAATTTAAATTAAATTAAGTTATATTATAATTTTTATTAAGATTTTAACTTAATAATATCATTTCTGAACGAAAATCGAATCAAAATCTTGACTCCACTACTGCCAGTGTTCCCTTATCTCTTGAAGATTGGGCCCTTTATATAGAGTATGGATGTAACCACTAGCATAACAAGCTTAGGTTGTTCCTTCGTTTGTGAGAAAGTAGCCCCTTATTTGGAAACCATAGCTTTATCCAGATGTAGGTTGGGATGTCCCATGATTCTCTCAACCAAAATAATTTCCACTAATAAAGACTTGGTTGAGTGACTTAGCATGCCACATGTTCATAGTGGATCCCATATGATCTTTATGTGCCAATCACACGTGAGAGGGAGATTTCATGAATCGACATTGGGCCGAGCAAAGCTGGGCCAAGCGCAGTGCCCGAGCTAGGTTCATACGGCTACTGGGCGCGCTCGGTTGGGGCCCTGGTCCAGTCCAGTCGAAGCAGTCTTAGATCGGTAGCCCGATTAACCATATTCGCTCCATCGAGCCAGACTAGTGTAGTCTTCCACAGATCAGTCTGACCGGGTAGTATCTAGGTCAGAACTAAGGAGGTCGACTAAGCCGTAGCAGGGTCCTCCAGTTAAACCGGGCGAATATCACGGTCATAAGTGGTCTCGATGTGACGGTAAGGAACCGTGCTATCCGTTCGCGCCAAAATAGTTTGACGGTTTTGTAAAGTGGTGTTTAGCTATATTTACGCTGACACTTGGGAAAATGGGAGAGGAGAGCAAGTCCACGCGTCCAAACGTGAATGGACGCAGAGGCATGCGCAGAAGGTATATAAACGGTGCTACGCCTCCACACTCAAGGGGGAACATCTTATGATCACAACTCATCTTCCACTTCATCTCCTCTCTTTTCTCTCTCTCCTTGTGTGTTAACTTGACCGTCGAAGGGTTTTCCGGCAGTATACCGCCAGGTAGCTCACTATCATTGTGTTCTCAGGTCGATTAGAGTGAAGCACAGCTTGGACACAAAGAGTACGGATAGCGACGGATATTTGCACCCTGTACAATTGGCACCGTCTGTAGGGATAACTTTGACAGACAACCTTGTCCTCCAAGCTCGTCCGATCATCCTTCATGGTGAACAACGACGACATTTCACTGTCCACCATCGATGGCATCACCCCGGAGTCCGTTCGGAGAAAAGATGGTCTTCCCGCCATCCCTATCATGGCTGGTCTAGAGACCTCTCCTGGAGAGCACCCCAAAGATGCGTGAGACAAGCACGCAAGGAGCACTGACCACTCGCGAAGCCCTGGGGGCACCGACGGCGAAGAGAGCCACACACTCAACGCATGGAGCATAAGCTGAGAAATCAAGACGCCATCATTCGAAGGATGGCGGCAGGGATGGAGACACTAAAGCGACAGGTCAAAGGGAAGGGTGTTGCTGGAGTAGGTAACCACAGTGAGCGCACCCAACCCCATTGCTCAGGCAGCCAGAACTAGCGGCACACGCCCTCTCTCTTCATCACCAGAAGTTATGGGGTTGGAGACTCTGACCCGCTAGCAGAGAAGTCTTGCGCACAGGACAGCAGTTACCGTCTCTCACATCCGCCGACGATGTCAAGATATTCCTACTCCACTCGTTCGAAGGACTTGATGGACGTCTTGGAAGAGTGAGCGCGCAAATAGAGGAGCAAAGGGTGCCGGCACTGTAACGATTATCCTACGAAGGTCGAGCCAGTGAAGAAGTCGTAATGCCACCACCCCATCCAGTTGTACATGTCGCTTTGGACAAAGATTTGGCAAGGCTGAGCATCACCATCTTCTCCCTTGACATAAAGGCCACACCGCTCCCTACGGGCTTTCAATAGTCCAAGTTTATGCTCTATGACGGAAAAACCGATCCGTACATGCACGTAAGCCACTTCCGGTAGGTTATGGTTGGATACAAGCGTAATGACGCTCTCATGTGCCTTATTTTCCCATTAAGTTTGGACGAGTTAGGCTTGAAATGGTTTGAGAGACTACCGGAGGAAAGCATCGAAAGGTGGCAGCAGTTGGCGGAAGCATTCGTGACCCGATTCAAAACCAACACAAAAACGCCAAAGGAGGTTGACGACTTTCTAAGTGTCAAGATGGAGTCGGGCGACTCTCTCAAAGCATAAAACGCCAAATATTGGGAAACTTTCAACGAGATCCTTGATTGCCAGACCAACCTGGCAATCACCCAATACAAGCGCGGTCTCCCGGTCGAACATAGACTAAAGGACTCGCTTACGATGAACCAACCAACTTCCATGGAACTGTTGATGCAACGCATCAATAAGCACATCCGAGTAGAGGATGAAGCGACCACGGCCACCACGAAGATAAATCTAGTGGCAATGGACAAAAGGGTGGCTGAAAAAGTCCACACGGTTGGACCGGAGACAAACCGTCCAAGTGACCGCATAAGAGAATCAGACCGTGGTCCGGATCGTAAAAACCAGGGTAAAGGTCGCCGCAATGACTAAACTGATTACCCCCGCGATGCTGCGGCAGATGCGAATAGAAAGTAGAACGCCCGAATAGGCATCACCACGGTTTTTAAAATCCCAATTTACCGCATGCTTAGCGAAATCCGCGACGAGGTGTACGTCCGGTTTTCGACCAAGTTGGGTGATACGCAGAAGGGCTTCAATCCGCGATATCGCTACACCTTTCATAGCGAGCGAGGGCACTGTACGGAGGACTGTTTGCCCCTGAAACAACACTTGGAGGAGTTGGTTGCCGCTGGTCACTTGGACTGTTACATCGACGGGGGCGTTAAGGCCGCGCACCATGCTCCGGCTGAGCCAAGTGGTTTGGCCGTCCTAGAAGCACCCCCCCAAGGAGTGGTCAATGTGATCTATGGTATCGTCGAGCCAGTGCGGGTCTGCGAGCTCCGAGGGATGATCAAAAAAGCGGAACATATGAGGGAAGTCCTGTCAGTCCAGCCCGCGGTCAAAAGAGGCAAGACCAAGCAGAAAAATGTACTCAGCTTCTCAATGCTGCACAATGACGCTCTAGTGGTCAACCTTCGCGTCAAGGACTTTGATATTAAGCGCATTTTGATCGACCAAGGTAGCTCAGTTGAGGTCATGTACTACGACGCCTTCAAACAGCTCAAACTCAGAGATATAGATTTGGCTCCGACAACTTCACCACTGGTTGGTTTTAACTCATAACCTAAGTGGCCCATGGGAAAGATAATCCTACCGGTCAAAGCTGGATCTGTGGTTAAGCAGGTGGAGTTCTGGGTGTTAAAGGTGCCCTCCACATACAATCTGATCCTAGGCAGGGGATGGCTTCATACCAGGCAGGTGGTAGTGTCGACCTTCCACCAAGTTATGCGGTTTCCCTCTGTTACGGGGGTGATTGAAAAGATTTAGGGCGATCAGGTCATGGCTAAGCAGTGTTTCGTTGCCGTAAATGGAAGCCGAGCTGCCAAAGGTTTCGTGCAAATGATCGAAGGCCCGAAAGATCAAAGTGTCCTAGATGATGTGGGCATTAAGGCCGTAGAAAAGGCCATTGAAGATTTAGTGAAGGTGCGGATCAACGAAGACAATCCAGACAAGTCCTTCATGTTGGGGTCCAGCTTGACCGCACAAGAACAACTGGAGATGGTGGAGTTCTTGGTGGCGAATATTGAAGTGTTTGCATAGACGCCTTATGACATGCATGGCGTCGATCCAAGCTTTATTTTCCATCAACTCAGTGTTTTCTCGAACGCTCGGCCTGTCATTCAAAGAACGTGGAGATCGGCCCTTCATCACATCGAGGTAGTGGCAGAGAAGGTCGAAAACTTGCTCAAGGCTAGGGCAATCCAAGAAGTTAGGGGTGAGCAGCGGATATACCGATCTGCCAAAACCGATCGAACCGAACCGAACCGATCCGCCGCATTTTGGACGGATGCGTGATGACGAGCGAACAGTTGCAGCTTGATTTTCTCCAATCCACCAATTTGGCAGACGGATGGCGGATTTGAGGTTCTTTTGGCCGCAACCAAACCGCCAAACCGCGAGTACCCTTAGTAATTTATAAGACTTTGTGTTTTCAATTTGTTTAAATATTTTGTTTGTGTTTTCAATTAAAAAAGAGTTCAAATATTCTGTTGAAAAAAAATTTTCAACTTGAATATATTTTTTGAATTGAAAAAAATAAACGTATTATTTATTTATATTTTTTTGTTTTTAAATCTAACTCTAAAAATAATAAATAAAAAATATGATATATGCTGGTTGGTTTTTGTTTTCAAAAACAAAAATAGATGTAAGGCAGCCAGAACTAGCGGCACACGCCCTCTCTCTTCATCACCAGAAGTTATGGGGTTGGAGACTCTGACCCGCCAGTAGAGAAGTCTTGCGCGCAAGACAGCAGTTACCATCTCTCACGTCCGCCGACGACGTCGATATATTCCTACTCCACTTGTTCAGAGGACTTGATGTCTTGGAAGAGTGAGCACGCAAATAGGAGGAGCAAAGGGTGCCGGCACTGTAACGGTTATCTTATGAAGGTCGCGCCAGTGAAGAAGTCGTAATGCCACCACCCCGTCCAGTTGTACATGTCCCTTTGGACAAAGATTTGGCAAGGCTGAGCACTACCATCTTCTCCCTTGAGATAGAAACCACACCGCCCCCTACGGGCTTTCACCAGCCCAAGTTTATGCTCTATGATGGAAAAACCGATCCGTACATGCATGTAAGGCACTTCCGGTATGTTATGGCTGGATACAAGCGTAATAACGCTCTCATGTGCCTTATTTTCCCATCAAATTTGGGCGAGTTAGGCTTAAAATGGTTTGAGAGGCCACCGGAGGAAAGCATCAAAAGGTGGCAGCAGTTGGCGGAAGCATTCGTGACCCGATTCAAAACCAACACCAAAATGCCAAAGGAGGTTGACGACTTTCTAAGTGTCAAGATGGAGTCGGGCGACTCTCTCAAAGCATACAACGCCAAATATTGGGAAACTTTCAATAAGATCCTTGATTGCCAGACCAACCTGGCAATCACCCAATACAAGCGCAGTCTCCCGGTTGAACATAGACTAAAGGACTTGCTTACGATGAACCAACCAACTTCCATGGAACTGTTAATGCAGTGCATCAATGAGCACATCTGAGTAGAGGATGAAGCGACCGCGGCCACCACGAAAACAAATCCGGTGGCAACAGACAAAAGGGTGGTTGAAAAAGTCCACACGGTTGGACCGGAGACAAACTGTCCAAGTGACCGCATAAGAGAATCAGACCGTGGTCCAGATCGTAAAAACCAGGGTAAAGGTCGCCGCAATGACTGAACTGATTACCCCCGTGATGCCACAGCAGATGTGAATAGAAAGTTAAAATCCCAATTTACCGCATACTTAGCGAAATTCGCGATGAGGTGTACTTCCGGTTTTCGACCAAGTTGGGCAATACGCAGAAGGGCTTCAATCCGTGGTATCGCTACACCTTTCATAGCGAGCGAGGGCACTGTACGGAGGACTTTTTGCCCCTGAAACAACACTTGGAGGAGTTGGTTGCCGCTGGTCACTTGGACTGTTACATCGACGGGGGCGTTAAGGCCGCGCACCATGCGCCAGCTGAGACAAGTGGTTTGGCTGCCCTAGAAGCACCCCCCCCAAGGAGTGGTCAATGTGATATATGGTATCATTGAGCTAGTGCGGGTCTGCGAGCTTCGAGGGATGATCAAAAAAGCGAAACATATGAGGGAAGTCCTATCAGTCCAGCCCGCGGTCAAAAGAGGCAAGACCAAGCAGAAAAATGTGCTCATCTTCTTAAGCAGGGATCTTGAGCGCATTCAAACGCTGCACAATGACGCTCTAGTGGTCAACCTTCACGTCAAGGACTTTGATGTTAAGCGCATTTTGATTGACCAAGGTAGCTCGGTCGAGGTCATGTACTACGACGCCTTCAAGCAGCTCAAACTCAGAGATATAGATTTGGCTCCGGTAACTTCGCCACTGGTTGGTTTTAACTCATAACCTAAGTGGCCCATGGGAAAGATAATCCTATCGGTCAAAGCCGGATCAGTGGTCAAACAGGTGGAGTTCTAGGTGTTAAAGGTGCCCTCCACATACAATCTGATCCTAGGCAAGGGATGGCTTCACACCAGACAGGCGGTGGCGTCGACCTTCCACCAAGTTATGCGGTTTCCTTCTGTTACAGGGGTGATTGAAAAGATTTGGTGCGATCAGGTAATGGCTGAGCAGTGTTTCGTTGCCGTAAATGGAAGCTGAGCAGCCAAAGGCTTCGTGCAAATGATCGAAGGCCCAGAAGATCAAAGTGTCCTAGATGATGTGGGCACTAGGGCCGTAGAAAAGGCCATTGAAGATTTAGTAGAGGTGCGGATCAACGAAGACAATCCAGACAAGTCCTTCCTGTTGGGGTCCAGCTTGACTGCACAAGAACGGCTGGCGATGATGGAGTTCTTGGTGGCAAATATTGAAGTGTTTGCATAGACGCCTTACGACATGCCTGGCGTCGATCCAAGCTTTATTTGCCACCAACTCAGTGTTTTTCCGAACGCTCGGCCTGTCATTCAAAGAACGTGGAGATCGGGCCTTCATCACGCCGAGGTAGTGGTAGAGAAGGTCAAAAACTTGTTCGAGGCTAGGGCAATCCAGGAAGTGCACTACCCTCGATGGGTTTCTAACACGGTCGTGGTACCCAAGAAGAATGGAAAATGACGACTATGCGTTAACTACAAGACGGTCAACCGAGCTTGCCCTAAAGATAGTTTTTCTTTGCCCAAAATCGACTAGTTGGTGGACTTTACAGCCGGACAAAACCAACTCAGTTTCTTAGATGCATACCGCGGTTATCACCAAATCACCATGCATGAGCCCGACCGGGAGATTACCTCTTTCACAACACCGAGGGGATTGTTCTGCTATAGAGTCATGCATTTTAGCTTGAAAAAAGCCGAGGCGACATTCTAGAGAATGGTGACCAAAATGTTCGCCCCTCTACTTGGCCGCACGATGGAGGCTTATATCGATAACATGGTGGTCAAAAGCAAGCATCCAGCTGACCACTTGACCGACTTGGCAGAGATGTTTGCCATTCTTAAACAACACAAGCTACACCTAAATGCGTAAAAGTGTGCCTTCGGCGTGGGTTCAGGGAAATTCCTGGGTTTCCTAGTCACCAACCGAGGCACCGAGGTGGACCCCTCACAAATCAAAGCCATACAAGAATTGAAACAACCCAACTCGGCAAAGGATGTACAACATCTTGCCGGTATGGCAGCCACGCTTAACCGATTCATAAGCCTGTCATCAGATCATTGCCACCCTTTCTTGCACGTCTTAAAGTCCAAGTTTTCATGGGACAAAAAATGTGACAGAGCCTTGGCTGAGTTAAAGATATATCTATCCTCCACCCCACTCTTGGTCACACCGAAGCACGGTGAAGAACTCTACCTTTACCTGGCCGTTTCTCAATATGCTGTTAATGCGGTGCTTGTCCGGGCAGAAGGCACCCAACATTTACCGATCTTCTACGTAAGCAGAACCTTACTCCCGGCGGAGACGAGATACTTGCTTCTGGAAAAACTCACATTGGCATTAATGATGGCCTTTCGAAAATTGGCACATTATTTCCACGCTCATACGATCGTGGTGTTGACCGAGTTCCCTTTGAAAGCCTTATTTGAGCAGGCAGACTTCTCCAGCCGAATTCTGAAATGGGCAGTCGAGCTGGGGCAATTCGATGTCAAGTTTTAACCCCAAACCGCCATCAAAGCCCAAGCATTGGCCGACTTCGTAGCGGAATTCTCGCATGGAATTCACCCAGTCTGCTTGGTGGATCTTACCGGTTCAACCGGGCTAAAGGAGGTAGGCACAACAGAAATCGCATGTCCTTGCATAGAGCTAAACATCGAAGGCGACGCGAAAGTGGCGCGCTAGTCTACAGACCCACCACACTGAAGATTTGCGCCAGCCTAGCAATGGGCCGTTAGATTTGGGAATAACCGGGCAACCAATAGAATCCAACCCCGCATTGCCAAGGGGGAATGAAGGCATGCTTGTCACGGAAGTAACTGAGCAGCCGAGCAATTCTAATGAAGGCATGCTTGTCGCGGAAGTAGCTGAGCAGCCGAGCAATTCTAACCACTTGAATCTCGAAATGTCAGAAGACCCCCGCAGAATGTTGGAAGCTCTTCATCGACAAAATGTGGAAATTATTTGTACATGGCGCCTCAAACAGGCATGGAGCCGGGGTGGGAATAGTCTTGATCTCTCTGGACAGACTAACTATTGAACATTCCATTGCGCTCGGGTTTCCAGCATCAAACAACGAGGCTGAGTACGAAGCATTGCTAGTCGGACTGAAAAGCGCTCTCCAATTGCATGCATCCGAGCTGATGGTCTACAGCGACTCCCAACTCATTGTAAACCAAGTGTCTGGAGAGTATGAAGCCAAAGATGACAGAATGGCCAAATACCAAGCCTTAGTGAGAGAACACATCAAGAAATTCTAAGCAATAAGAGTCCAACAAATTGGCCGTGAAGATAACGGCCGAGCAGATGAGTTGGCCGGCCTAGCTTCCATGATCAACAAATCAACTCCCAGCCCTTTCCTGATTGAGTTCCTCCTAAGGCCCAGCATTGAAGACTCGGAACAGACGGAAGTATTCTGTATCGAGCATGGCCGTCCTTCTTGGATGGACCCCATCATCATTTTCCTCAAAAAATGAATTCTGCCGACCGACAAAAGGAAGCACATAAAGTCCGAGTGAAGTCCGAGCGATTTTGGCTCTCTCCATCTGGCGCTTTGTATAAGAAATCATTCATTGGTCCATACCTTAAGTGTGTTCATCCAAACAACGTCGATGCTTTCCTTTACGAGATCCACGAAGGCATGTGCGAAAGTCACATCAAGGGGAGATCTTTAGCTTATCGCTCTATTTCGCAAGGATACTGGTGGCCGTGCATGTAGGCGGATGCGTAGAAATATGTCAGAAAATGCGAGAAGTGCCAGAAGTTCACCCCATCAAATTCACCAGCCGGCTAGAGAACTCCTCCCCCTTACAAGTCCTTGGCCTTTTGTAATGTGAGGACTTGACATAGTTGGACCACTCCCTACTGCGCCGGGCAATTGCAAGTTCTTTATAATGGCAACGGACTACTTTACCAAGTGGGTTGAAGCTGAGCCCTTAGTGACAATTAAGGAAAAGGATGTGAAGAAATTTGTTTGGCAGAACGTGGTAACACGGTTCGGCGTCCCCAAGGCCTTGATCTCTGACAATAGCACTCAATTTGATGGACGGTTGTTCAGAGGATCTTGTAAGGAGCTAAAGATAGAATTCTATAATTCCACCCTAGCCTACCCTCAGTCCAACAGCCAAGCTGAAGCATCAAATAAAACCATTTTGGATGGACTGAAGAAGAGATTGGAGAAAGCCAAAGGAAAGTGGTTGAGGAATTGCCAAATGCTCTTTGGGCTTACCGAACAAGACCCAGACGCTCGACCGAGGAGACACCGTTCTCTTTGGCATATGGTATGGAGGCAGTCATTCCGTTGGAGATCGGTATGCCCACCGTTCGCAGCGAAAATTTTGAGCCCGACTTGAACGCCGAAGCCATCGCTTTGGAATTAGACCTCGCAGAAAAACGCCGAGAAAAGGCCCTGATCCATGTCGCAACGTATTAACAAGAAATATCTCAGAAGTATAACAAGACAGTTCACCTTAGACCATTTAAAGTTGGGGACTGGGTCTTGAGGAAGGTAATAGGCAACACCCTGGTGCCGAGTGAAGGAAAATTGAGGGCAAAATGGGAAGGTCCTTACAAGATCACCGGTCTGGCGGGCAAAGGGGCGTATCATTTGGAAAACTTGGATGGCAAAGTTGTACCACGACCATGGAATACGGCCAATTTGAAGTTGTTTTATTTTTAGTTTCCATTTTTCAATGTAATTTTTTGAAAGGGGGCAAACATTACCCTCGATTTAACAATGTAATTCTTCTTGTCACCTTGTAATTTCAATTTGAACGTCATAGCGAAGAGTTACTATACGCAGTCAATTTGTTTGATTATGGGGTTGTGCAATGAACAAAGGGCAGCTGCCCCTAGCCGAGATAATTTAGCTCGGCCAATTGAGTTGGTGATCTGTT